CGCGCCTGGCACTTTTAGCAGATTTTAAAGAAACCATGCAATTATGAATGCATTGACAGAACACTATTCAGAAGGACATTTGCCCTAAAAGCCAAATTATTAAGTTGTTAACGTTTTTTAATCATCAAGTGGTATATGCAAAGCAGGCATTTTCCCTTCCCCTCCGAGCCCCACCCAATGCCAGCTGTCACCTCTGGAAATCAGGAATGATTTGCAGTGGAGAGGGTATCAGAGGTATGGTTTAAACTAAGAATGGAGTCACGGTCAACAGTGGAATGAAACTCAGGGGTAGGGTGAACATCAGAGAAAGTAAGCATTGGGTATGTCTTTCACAACTTGCCTGGTAATTTTTTTAAAAAACAGTGATTTTATATTTTGACTCAATTCTAACAAAATGTTTCCCATATCAAAATGTTCCTTTTATCAAATTGGGTTTGCCAAACTAGGCTTCTTTGAGGCACAGGTGGACTAAGATTCAAATAGCTGATTCCTAGGCCACTACTCTTATCAGATAGGGCACAGTCTCCTGGCAGAGGGGACCCTGGCACAGGCAGGCAGATTCCAGGCCCAGTTCTGCCTTATTTTCTCCCACGGGTGGCTGCCTGAGCAGCTGTTAGATGGAGGAATGCTCCACCCAGCCTTTGTCTCACTCTTCACACCACTTGCTCTCCCTTCTGCATTGCAGATCTGGAAAGTGAGGCTGGAAGTGGCAAGGGTGACCTGACTGCCTGTTTCCCCAGTCCCCAGCCCCAGGCCTTGCCACTGCCTTGCCTCCTTGACTTTGATAAATAAAGGTGAAGCCCAAGAGGTACCCTCACCTTCTTGCCCCACCCAGTTCAAAATTCAGGAGCTGCAGAGCCTATAAGATGACCTTGGAGCTGTTTTGGGTGGCTGGGAAGAGAGCTAGGCACAGCCCTTGGATCCCTGGACCCTTCATGTAAACAAGGAGATTACCTCCCCCAGGGCACTATCACTTAGCACTTTCTTGAGTCCATACTTTTATTTGGTTTTTGTTTTGATTTATCATAGGCTTTCCCCTACTTCTGTTTACATTCACACCCCCTATTTCCTTGCTCTTTGGGAGACAGGCTGTCTTAGTCTGTTTGGGCTGCCATAACATAATGCTGTAGAAGGGGTGGCTTAAACAATGGACTGTTATTTCTCCCAGTTCTAGAGACTGGGAAGTTCATAATCAAGGTGCCAGCTGATGAGACTTCTGGTGAGTTGCCCTCCCTGGCTTGCAGATGACTGTCTTCTTCCTGTGTCTTCATACAGCAGAGAGTAAATGAGCTCTTGTCTTTCTTCCTCTTCTTCTGTTTTTTTTTGTTTGTTTGTTTGTTTTTTTCTTTTTAAGGCTGAATCTTGCTCTGTTGCCCGGGCTGGAGTGTTCAGTGGTGCAATCTCGGCTCACTGTAGCCTCCACCCCTGGGTTCACGCGATTCTCCTGCCTCAGCCTCCCAGGTAGCTGGAATTACAAATACATGCCCCCTACACCCGACTAATTTTTGTATATTTAGTAGAGACGGATTTTCACCATGTTGGCCAGGATGGTCTCAATCTCTTGACCTTCTGATCCACCTGCCTCAGCATCCCAAAGTGCTGGGATTACTGGCATGAGCCACTGTACCCGGCCTATAAACTTTTTTAATGTTGATATATTCACCATTTATATGACTAAATATCTTACTCTATAACTGTAGTATAATTTATGTAACCAACTTCCCAATGTTGGATGCTGAGGTTATTTTTTTTTCCTGTAAAAGTTAACATTATTCTTTGTAATAGAACTGTTCTGTGTCATGACTATGGCGGGGTGGTTCCACAAATCTACATGTGATAAAATTTGGTTGAACTAAACACACACACACACACACACACACACACACACACACAAATGTGTACTTCTACAGTGGTGAAATCTGAAAAAGGTGGGTGGATTATATGAATGTCAATTCTCTGATTGTTATTATGCAAGATGTTACATTTGGGGAAAACTGGGTGAAGGGTATATGGGATCTCCCAATATTATTTCTTACAACTGCACATTAATCTACAAATTAATTCAAAATAAAAAGTGTTGGCCATGTGCTGTGGCTCATACCTATAATTTCAGCACTTTGGGATACCAAGGCAGAAGGATTGCTTAAGCCCAGGAGTTCAAGACCAGCCTGGGCAACACAGTAAGACACCATCTCTACAAAAAATTTAAAAATTAGCTGGGCATGGTGGCATGTGCCTGTTGTCCCAGCCAGGTCCCATCTACTCAGGGGGCTGAATGGATGAGTGCTGGAGCCCAGGAGGTTGAGGCTGTAGTGAGCTGTAATCATGCCATGGAGCTCCGGCCTAGACAACAAAGTGAGACCCTGTCCCAAAAATAATAATAGGCCTGGCACGGTGGCTCATGCTTGTAATCCCGGCAATTTGGGAGGCCGAGACAGGCAGATCCCTTGGGGACAGGAGTTCAAGACCATCCTGGCCAACATGGTGAAACCCCGTCTCTACTAAAAATACAAAAAAAATTAGCCAGGCATGGTGGAGCACACCTGTAATCCCAACTACTCAGGAGACTGAGGCAAGAGAATCATTTGAATCTAGGAGGTAGAGGTTGCAGTGAGCTGAGATCATGCCACTGCACTCCAGCCTGAATGACAGAGCGAGACCCTGTCTCAAATAATAATAAGTGCTTAAAAGCCACTACACTGGACATCTTTTGTAAGTACATGTGTACTTCTGAACATCTAGTTTTTGTTTTGGGTAGATTCCTATGAGAGAAATTACTCATAAGAAAATTCAATAAGAAATAAGAGCTCTCAATCTCAGCACATTAGGGTTTCCTGCCATTACCCAAAAAGCTTTGCAGGCATAGAAAACTGATAGGCATGCCTGCTGAGGAAGAGGGCTTGGCCACACTCACGGAGCTTTCCACAAACCTGGAGTGCCGGCCAACTAATTTACAATGAGAAATGTAAGCAGAGCATCCAGGACCACTGCCCGTAGCCTGAGTTTCCCCTCCCTACAGCCCTTCACGGGCAAAGCCACATTCTAATTGGAAGATTGACTTGCGACATGAAGCAAGGGAAATTAAGTGACATGATCCCAGTGATAAAGATACCAGGATAAGCCCTGCTGCGCACATCTCCATAGCAGGACTTTATCCACTGCCACCAGAGACAGGCGCATGGGTTCTCGGGCAGGGTACCCCTCCTTAGCAGTGCTTGAATGGGGACAGCCTATATTTGCTTCTGTGACACTATTTCTGGGCTTCCAAGGTTTGCTAACCCCTGTTCTGGAGTGCATTGTTCCTTTAGGTGTGTGAAGATGTTTCAGTGAGTTACGGATCAGTCTTGTTGGCCTGGAAGTTGATCTGTTTCATAGCACTTGTTCTTCTTTTTTTGAGATGGAGCCTCCCTTTGTTGCCCAGGCTGGAGTGCAGTGGCACAATCTTGGCTCATTGAAACCTCCACCTCCCAGGTCAAGTGATTCTCCTGCTTCAGCCTCCCAAGTAACTGGGATTACAGGCATGTGCCACCACACCTGGCTAATTTTTGTATTTTTGTAGAGACGGGAGTCTCTCCAGGTTGGCCAGACTGGTCTCGAACTCCTGACCTCAAGTGATCCACATCACACCTTGGCCTCCCCAAGTGCTGGGATTAGAGCGGGGAGTCACCGTGCCCAGCCCAGCACTTATTCTTAACCCCTAGTTCAACAGACCTCTGCAGGACTCTTTTCCTCTGATATTGTATGTAAAATTTTGAATGTATGATCAAATGTGTATTTTCTGGAGAGACAGTTCATAGTGTTTATTTTCAGCAAAGAGTCAGGCTGGGCGCAGTGGCTCATGCTTGTAATCTCAGCACTTTGGGAGGCCAAGGCAGGTGGATCACGAGGTCAGAAGTTTGAAATCAGCCTGACCAACATGGTGAAATCCTGTCTCTACTAAAAATACAAAAATTAGCCAGGCGTGATGGCACGTGCCTGTAATCCCAGCTACTCAGGAGACTGAGGCAGGAGAAATGCTTGAACCCAGGAGGTGGAGGTTGCAGTGAGCTGAGATCATGCCACTGCACTCCAGTCTGGGCAACAGAGTGAGACTCCATCTCAAAAAAAAAAAAAAATAGAAAAGAAAAGAGTCTCAATTTACTAGTGAACATCGTGTGGGCCCCATGTTCCAGGCATTATACTGAGGGGGGCTTTGCATGCATCAATTACCTCATTTAATCCCCACTGAGGTCAAGAATCTTGCCCCAATTTACCATTTTGGACAAGTTAAAGAATACTGCTTTAAAGTGGCTTTGAGCCTGGCACAGTGGCTCATGTTTATAATCCCAGAACTTTAAAGAGGCTGAGGCAGGCTGGGCACGGTGGCACATGCCTGTAATTTTAGAACTTTGGGAGGCCAAGGTGGGTGGATCACGAGGTCAGGAGTTCCAGACCAGCCTGGCCAATATGGTGAAACCCTGTCTCTACTAAAAATACAAAAATTAGCTGGGTATGGTGACTCACGCCTGTAGTCTCAGCTGTTCGGGATGCTGAGGCAGGAGAATCACTTGACCCCAGGAGGTGGAGGTTGCAGTGATCACGCCACTGTACTTCAGCAGAGATCACGGCACTGTACCCCAGCCTAGGTGACAAAGCAAGATTCTGCCTCAAAAAAAAAAGAAAAAAAAAGCTGAGACAGGAGGATCGCTTGAGCTCAAGAGTTTGAGAAAATCCTGGGCAACAGGGCAAAACCCTGTCTCTACAAAAAATCTAAAAAATTAGCCAGGCGTGGTGCAACGCCTATAGTCCCAGCTACTTGGGAGGCTGAGGTGGGAGGATTGCTGGAGCCTGGGAAATCGAGGCTGTAGTGTGCTGTGATCATGCCACTGCACTCCAGCCTGGGCAATGGAGTAAGACCCTGCCTCAAAATAAATGAATAAATAAAGCGACTTGGAAATCTGTTCTCTGGTATAGTCGATGTTTGTAGTAAGGGGAGTCTTATTTCCCTTTTATTTTCCTAGGTGAAGAAAAAAAATTATTGGTGGCAAGCACACAATCCATGCCAAATGGAGCCGTGGAACGGCTTTGTTGCCGCTTCCCGGAGGCTGAACTCCGCTGCCGGTGCCAGCATCTCTAGTTACTCGCTTCTCTTCTTGCTCACTGGTCTTTGTATGCACTCAGACTAACCTGTGAATTGGCACCTCGTGTCTGCATCTCACTGACTTTGGCAGCTTGGATGCCGTCTTCACCTGTAAATGCCCTTTCCTCCAAAAAGCAGGTCTGCTGCCCGTTCACTCTCTCTCTCTCGCTGTATCAGAGTCTAGAACCTGCAGGTTTTCTGAAAGAGCATTGTGTTGCTTTTTATCCAAAGCAGCATGCATTTCCATCAGCTTTCCAACAGAAAATCAGGCGAGAGCTTATTCAACATTCACTTATTCACTGAATATTCATTAATTTTCCAGACATTCTTCTAGGTACCAGGGATACCAGTAAAAAATATTTACCCTCATGGAGCCTGGCTTCTAGGGGATGAAAACAGACAGTAAACAAATAAATGAATAAATAAATATTCAGTGAATGAGTGAATGATGAAGAACCTCTCTCCTGATTTTCTGTTATAAAGCTGACAGATATGCATGCGGCCTTTGACAAAAAGCAACACAATGATCCCTTAGAAAATCCACAGTTTACCTGGGCACAGTGGCTCACGCCTGTGATCCCAGCACTTTGGGAAGCCAAGGGGAGGCAGATCACGAGGTCAGGAGTTCAAGACCAGCCTGGCCAACATAGTGAAACCCCATCTCTACTAAATATTTTAAAAATTGGCCAGGCATGGTGGCAGCTGCCTGTAATCCCAGCTATCTGGGAGGCTGAGGCAGGAGAATCACTTGAACCTAGGAGGTGGAGGTTGCAGTGAGCTGAGATCACGCCCCTACACTCCAGCCTTGGTGACAGTGCAAGACTCCAACCAAAAAAAGAGAAAAGTAAAGAGAAGAGAAAGAAAAGAAAACGTGCAAGTTCTAGAGTTTGATGCGTGAAAGAGAGAGTAAAAAAGTAAATCCAATAGGTCTGATGCTTTTTTTCTTTTTATTTTTTTGTGTGACAGGGTCTCCCTCTGTCACGTAAGCTGGAGTGCACTGGGGCAAGCATGGCTCCCTGCAGCCTTGACCTCCAGGGCTCAAGCGATCCTCCCACCTCAGCTTCCGGAGTAGCTGGGCCTAAAGGTGCACACCACCACGCCTGGCTAATTTTTTTGTTTATTTTTTTATAGAAATGGGGTCTTGTCATATTGCCCAGACTGGTCTTGAACTCCTCAGCTCAAGCAATCTGCCTGCCTTGGCCTCCCAAAGTGCTGAGATTGCAGGTGTTAGCCACTGCCCCCAGCCTTCGGATGCTTTTAAGATAAATAAAACAGTAGTGGGGCATAAGGAGTGCCAGGGATGGGGCATCACTTGATGAAATGAGGTAGTCAGGGAATCCTCACTGAGAAGTGACAACTGAGCAAAGGCCTCTGTGGTATAGTAAAGAAAGCCCTGAGGCCAGGCGCAGTGGCTCACGCCTGTAACCCCAGCACTTTGGGAGGCTGAGGCAGACAGATCCCCTGAGGTCAGGAGTTCAAGACCAGCCTGGCCAACATGGTGAAATCCCGTCTCTACAAAAATATAAAAATTAGCTGGGCATGATGGTGGGTGCCTGTAATTACAGCTACTTGGGAGGCTGAGGCAGGAGAATTGCTTGAACCCGGGAGGCAGAGGTTGCAGTGAGCTGAGATCATGCCATTGCACTCCAGCGTGGGCAACAGAGCAAGACTCTGTCTAAAAAAAAAAAAAAAAGGTATTATAAGGTTTGAATGACATTATACACACACACACACACATATATTAGTGTCAAATATATAAATGGGAACCACTGTCATAGCTTTTGCTAGATAATCATGAGGGCCCATCCAGTCCAGGGTTCCCATGTTCTTGGAGGCTCTTACTTGGATCCAGAGGCCCAATGGGAGGTACTGGAGCTCTCCTTTCCTTCCTGAGTCCAGCCCCAAGGTGAAATTTGAACTTCTCTAGCGATGATTTAGATGAAATTCACTCTGCAACAGTGTGAACACCCCTCTCTGAAAACAGAGGGTTTTCATTTTTAAGAAAGACTCCTCACATAGTTTGATGAAGGTGTGGTCTTAAATCTAGTTCACTGATTGCAAAAACCTGGCTTGATTCAACACACTTGATCTATTTTCATCTCTCTGCCACTTGCTTAAAATAAGAAGCTCATTGCTATGCTGCCCACGGCTGCATCTAAATCATAACTGAACTGCGAATTGAATACATTTTTCTCTCTTCTGCTAAATACCATTTTTATCTTCGCCAAGCCCACACGTCCTCAGTTGAGAGTGTTTGCTTTAGCAGTTTCTCCCTGGACCTGGAGGGATAGTTAGGTGACAAAAGACCCCTCCTGAGCTCCCAGAGAGCCTCCCTCCCTATGACCTGTTTGTCTTCCAACAGGGCATTCTCCTACCCACGAGCTAGCAGAAGCCACCTTTCAGGCTGTCACCACAATCCCTGCTTTTGTTTTCCCCACTCTTCCTTGCTTGGAGAGGGGTAGGGAGGCTTTGTGAGCCTTTGGGTCTCTCATGTCTCCTGGGAAAGGCTTGAATCTCAGCATCCTCTGGACTTCAGTCTCCCCTTCTTTGACTCTTATTATAGGAAGTGGAAAATTAGCAAAACAGGGAATTCAAGGAACTCCAAAAAGCAGCCTCATAAACATGAATTAAGAGATTTGACTCCTGGAAGGAATGATGCCACACTCAGAAACCAGCCTGAAACTCATGCTTTCATCTTTAATCTTCTCCTGTCCAAAGGCTTACTCCTCCCACGTGTCTCCTCTCCTCTTCCTTCCCATGAGAAAGGTCAACATTATTATCATCATTTTACAAGCAGTCAAATGAGCCCCGCTGGGGAGGGAGCCAGTGGCACAGGCCAGATTAGGATGTGAGGCTCCCTGGAGGACAGGCTGGAGCCTGAGTTATCCCTCAACTGCTTCATTATTTTCATCAATATGAATTTTTCCTTTTCAGTTAGCCCCTGTGCACATGATAAGAAATCCTTGCCACCACCGTTGCAGATATCAAGTGTAAGGAAAGGCACCAGGGGAAAAAAAATAAATGCTCTATTCTGCTGTTGGGAAAACAGGAGAATAACTGAGGTTAACTGGGAAAAAAGAAAGGGTAACAGCCTCAGTCAGGGTCAGGAATACAGGATAGAGAATCAGAGCTGGCCTCTGCCTCTCAGCTGGAGCCATTCAGAAATGGCACTGTGAAACAAAGGATTTTTTTTTTTTTTTTTTGAGATGAAGTCTCACTCTGTCACCCAGGCTGGAGTGCAGTGGTGCGATCTCAGCTCACTGCAGCCTCTGCCTCCTGATTCAAGCAGTTCTCCTGCCTTAGCCTCCCAGATAGCTAGGATTACAGGTGCCCACCACCACCCCTGGTTAATTTTTGTATTTTTAGTAGAGACAGAGTTCCACCATGTTGGCCACAATGTTGGGATTACAGGCATGAGCAACTGCACCCAGCCAAAGCAAAGAATTTTTGGTTTCCAGCAGTGGAAGTGGATGGCATTGAGCCAACTACAAGAAATGGCAAGAAAAGAGATTCTGAAACTAGTCTGAAACTAGTCAGTCTAGTTCTGATTCTGCTACTTGTTAGCTGTATTACCCTAGACAAGTTACTTTGCCTTTCTGAGTCTCAGTTTCCTCATCTGTAAAATAAGAATAATAATAGTATTTCCACTCAGCAGCATTATTGTAAGGATTAAACAAGATGATATATAGGCTGGGCACAGTGGCTCACACCTGTAATTCCAGCACTTTGGGAGGCCAGGACAGGCAGATCATGAGGTCAGGAGATCAAGACCATCCTGGCTAACATGGTGAAAACCTGTCTCTACTAAAAATACAAAAAATTAGCCGGATGTGGTGGCACATGCCTGTAATTCCAGCTACTCGGGAGGCTGATGCAGGAGAACCACTTGAACCCAGGAGGTGGAGGTTGCAGTGAGCTGAGATCTTGCCACTGCACTCCAGCCTGGGCAACAAAGCGAGACTCCATCTCAAAAAAAAAAAAAAAGATGATATATAAAACATACTTAGCACACTATGCAATACACAGTAGCTCTAATTATTAAATGCCCACAATATGCCAGCATTATGCCAGTTACAGGAAATAGTTATATGAGTAAGGTAGATTCCTCACCTTTGAGGAGTTCATTGGCTTGTGGATAGGACAAGCGAACAGATATTTACCACATAGCACTTTGGGAGTGGTGCTGGCTAGGAGTGGTGCTGTTTGTCTACAGTTTTGGAATAGATTTTCCCATCTCTGGATGAAGTTAACTGTGTAAGAACAGAGTCTGGGCCAGCCACGGTGGCTCATGCCTGTAATCCCAGCACTTTAGGAGGCAGTGGCAGGAGGATCACGAGGTCAGGAGATCGGGACCATCCTAGCCAACATGGTGAAAACCCATCTCTACTAAAAGTACAAAAAGTAGACTCTGTCTCCAAAAAGAAAAAAAAAGAAAGAACAGAGACTGAACTCATGACCTGAAATAATGGGAACATAATAAAAAATAATTGTGGTCTAGCAACTGGCCATTTCCAGAGAGAGGGTGTAAATTGTCACGCAACCAGTGATTTCATTCTATCCTCCTCAAAGCCTTACAAGATTTGATGAAGAGTAACTGAAGAGGAGAGTGTGACTTTTTCTGGGGCCTTCAGACAGGTAATTGTCCCTAAGGCCCTGCACATGCTAACCCCTGCCTCTACTCCCTACCCCGATAAAGATCATAGTCGGTATGCTATGTGTTATACGCCCCTACCCATCGCACAGAGGGGAAACTAAGTAGCAAAATGGACACAGGGTAATGTGGGGAGGCTGGTCAGAGCCTGGTGGATCTATAAGCTACCAGAAAGCAGATCATTTTTTTTTTCCCAAGACAGAGTTTTGCTCTGTTGCCCAGGCTGGAGAGCAGTGGCATGATCTCGGCTCACTGCAACCAACCTCCACCTTCTGTGTCCAAGCAATTCTGCCTCAGCCTCCTGAATAGCTAAGATTTCAGGTGCCCACCACTATGTCCCGCTAATTTTTGTATTTTTAGCAGAGATGGGGTTTCACCATGTTGGCCAGGCTGGTCTTGAACTCCTGACCTTGTGATCCACCACCTTGGTTTCCCAAAGTGCTGAGATTACAGGTGTGAGCCACTGCACCCCACCCAGATTATCTTTATGAAGTCAAAGAATTTAGGAAAATGCCTTCTTGCAGGTTTAGGTGGAAGTGAAACTGTCTACTCTGCTCTCCCTTAGTTGGAAATAGGGCAATGAAAGAAGGCAGCCTGCCCTGTGGCTGTGCTAGTGATCTCTGCACACTGAGCTCCATCTAGGCCACATCCTAGCCTGGATCGGATACCTTGCTTTGTGTGTGACATGTCATTTTTGTCTTTCCCCTCACGTGCATATGATACTTTACAGGGCATAAAGTCCTTTCAGCCCTGTGAAGCAGGCACTTGTCACTTCTCAGGAAACTGAGGCTCAGAGAAAGTAGAA